GGCACTCACTCAAACACTGCGCTCGGTGCGCTGCGCTGCAGTCGTTATATACAGTGCACATCCCTAGAGGACTTGCGGGCGGGCCTAGGTCCAGTGTCGACCTTGGTGACACCCTACACCCCCATGCGGCGGTGCCTCGACTGGGACAAAAAGAATGGCTATCGTATTGTCTTCACACCTAGAGCTTATGTGCGGACCCCCGGACCCCTGTATCTTCTAGTTAGGAGGGGCAACGCTAGAAAAAATACCAGCAAGGGGTGAAGAGCATCGTGTGTGGCGGCGATGGGTTCTTTATTTGCATATATTCAAAGGAATGTTACCAGAAGTCACACACAAAAGCCTCCAAATTCTTTCCAGCATTTGGAGACGTGAACAACCCTGGCATCTGCATTATAGCGAGCTCAAAAAAAGAGCATGGATAACAGAAAGACGGCTTCCACGCTACACTGTTCAGTTCCCGTTGAGCAATGCTTTGCAGACGCTTAGCAAATTGCGAAGAGTTCACATGCTTTGTAACTTCAAAGAATTGACTTTGCACTTAAAAATTGATGCTTTGTAGCATGTACAGCATTGCTTCGCAAAGATTGAGTATCGTTTTGCGAAGGCAAAGTAATGCTTTAGTTCCAAAGCATCCAAATCCACTACAATATGCGAAGAGTCTGCTTTGGAAGAAATTTTAAAGTGTAAACTAATACTACTTTATTATAATCTATTGTTAGCTTCATGTGCGCCAGGCCAATTTGCCTTTTAACTTAAGTCTCGTGGACCAGGCTTCGTGATCTGAAGCACTGTTCCGCTGCGACACGCCTGGGTCATTGCTGACACGCCCGAGACAAGTTAACAAGTAACTACGGGGGTTGGGCCTTAAGGTCCCCAAAATTACATCCTCGCAGGAATCGAAAGAATAGAACTAATACTGTTCGTGAAATGAGGTCCTTTAGATTGTCAACTTCGACAGAATCTTACGCGATCTTACGCCAACCAAGTTTTCCGAGCTTGTCAGACATTTAGGGCTCCTGCTCCTACAGCCTTGCGATGGTTGCGTTTCGACTAATGTGCGGTTTTGCCCATGTTTCCATTTGAAGAAAAGCAGACCTTATTTCCCACGGGGTTATTTTAGGCTATTTTTCGTCGAGAAATGCCCTTGGGCCCTTACCAATAACAGGAAAGGCAATTTGTTTTCGACCCAAATGATTTTAATTATTGTAAAGGGTTAATATTTGAGCTAAGAATCCTTATCTTCGAACTAGATCTGTTTTCTAATTGCACAAAACAGCACTGAAAATTTCAGATAGCCATCTTAATTCATTCTCGAGTCATCGGACATACAGTCAAAACAATTTAACGAACAAAATGAAACTCTTTGGGTCAGTGCAGTAACGGGCTTCACTATTATTATATTAGTTTGGTACGTGTGAATTTTTTGAAGAGTTTGGGAAACATTATAAAAGTGACATGGTTGCACGAAAGGCAGAGTCAATTGGATCTGGCTGGACCCGGGCTGCCTTTGATCGAATTTCTACGAGACCCACTCAAGCAGAGCATCTGCTTTGTACCGTTTGCGCAGTATAGTAATGTTAGCATTACTTCTCCTGTCACATATTGTTCACAGAACGAAGAGTACACCAATCTTTTAAAAGTTAAAACTTTTCTTCAGTATAATTAATGTTTAAAAAATATAGGGTCAACCACGTTTGTGGGTAAGCGTGTCTGTCCTTTGCTACCCCGACTCACATCCCACACGGCCAGGACCACCTTGAGGCTGCACCGGCTGTGCGCAGGATCACGTTTCTACGAGAGGGCAGCGACTCGCCGAAAGTGTATGCTCGGGTTGCTCCCATGCTCCCGCCTGACTGGTAAGGCCTCTGTTAAGTGAGATACTGAAGCAGAGTAGGCTGATAGGCAACAGCGGGAGATAACTCCTATTGCAACCAGGGGGTTGTATAAAAGCTCAATAAGAAGGGAAAGGAAGTACACAGCCATTTATGTTATCAAACCAGTGCGCAAACGCAGATGGTGAAAGAAAACTCAGCAAAGAAGACGTTATCGTCTTTATTGCAAGTAACAACTTATGGGCGACGCGACATCAATAATATGAATGAATACAATAATAATGACAATAAATTACTGGGACTAGTCTGGCGAGGCGGAGTCAGTGGTATACGGAGTAGGCAGAGTGCGGCGATGCGACCGCCACCTTTGCAATGGCCGGGGCGACAGCCACCTTGGCGATAGCCACCTTGGCGGGCTGACGGTCGACCACGGCGTTGAAGCCGTTCACGTGGTCGGCCGTGTAGTGCACGGTGCGGGTAGTGCCATCAGGCTCAACGAGCGAGTATACGCCTTGCACCACGCCGTTGTGGAGCTCCTCCTTCTGCTGCTTCGCATCGCCCGTGGTCGGGTCCTGCACTCCGTAAGAGAAAGCATACGCAGGGTTGGGGTCGTAGGGCTCGGGGACGGCCACCTTCGCAATGGCCACGGGAGCAGCCACCTTGGCGACGGTGTAGGCGGGCGGCGCGTACGCAACTGGGGCGGCGTACGCCTTGACAGGGGCGTAGCTGGCGTAGGACACTGCAGGGGCAGCGGCGTAGCCCAGATCACCGGCCTTTGCTAGCGCCGCAAGGGCGACCACGAACAGAAACTGAAAGAAAGTAAACAACCTTACTAATCCCAATCTAATAGGAACACTCTCACACAATACACTCATCCCCCGACCCACATACTAATCCACCCAAATGCAATGTTCGGTTGACGTGGCATGATATCCATTTAAATTTTCCAACCAGCTGGGTATGGAGGGAAATAAGAATCAAGAACACAGTAAGCATAATAGTACAATGATAGTCCAACAAGATGGGCATTCATGCTAAGCCCGTACAAAGAGAAAGTATAAATAATTGGACTCCTAATTGTCTTAAGAAGTTTTTAAATAAAGGGCAAAATCAAAAGAAAAACACAACTACTATGACATAAAGGCAAAAAGGGTGGAAAATATTGTCCAGGAAATTGACCAGTTTACATTTATGCCGGTTGCTTCAACCAGACAGTACGGACGAATCCACAGCGATGTCCACTCCGCACGACCAACACTTGGGATCTCAACTCACCGCGAGCATCCTCCTTGCTGCCCGGCACAACCCCGAGTTCGAACTGCGTCAGACATACGGCTGACAATCGTATATAAACCTACTCCGCCGCTACTCTCCTACCCCACTGCACTTCTCGTGCACTACCACTGTGCACGCACACGCGTACACACACTCAGACATCACCGCACAGTTCCACATTTTTCATTGACGTTGGAGGGCAATAAATGCACCTTGCACTTCCATGGACCGGCCGGCTCGCCGGCAAGACGACGGGTCTGGCGCGGTCGTGTTCGAAATACGGTGCTCCTCCACTTGTCGAGCTCGCGGTGACAGAGCGGTGCTATTTGAACGCACTCCATGAACTGGTGGACTACCCTGACAGCAGGGACAGTGTGCGAGAGGGAAAGAGGAGGAGGGGGGGGGGGGGGGGGGGGCTGGTACCACGCCTACGCCACGTGATCACGTGACACAAAAGGACACAAAATGCGTCGTTCTGCACATGCTCCCACGTAGAGAACGAATACAGTGCCATTCTTCTCAGAGCTATAAATGTTATTTGCTTTCACCTCTCGATTTAATTAACAGGCACAGTACTTAATATTAGAGGAACAGGGATAATTAGAGAAGCAGGCGAGAATCAAGTTCGTGTGTTTTTAAGGGAGGAAATTCTCCTTTTCTTTTCAGTTTCCACTTTGTTTTAAGTTAAAGTTTCGCCTGCACCTGTCATTGTATTGAATGGGGTCAAGGCCATACGCTTCATTTGAATGACAGGCGATCGGTTCGAGCTTCAGGCCGCAGCCGGAGCGCTGGCTGTCACCGAAGCGGGTCACTTGAAAAGGCAAAGCGGCCGACACTTGTCATCGTTTGGCTGCTCTGAGCGGCTCTGAGCGCACAATGACGAGAGAAAAACTAACAAAAATGATCGGGTGGTTTTGATTGCGAAAAGGAATACGAGCACGGGTTCAAAGGCCTTGGCACTGGCACACAGAAACCCAACAAGTTCCCTTTTAGCTTTGCTTTGGCACCTAAAGGTTGTTTTTGAAACAACCCGTTATTAGGCCGAGTATTCTATAACCTACAACATTTAGTGGACTCTAAAAGTACAGATGTTCATTATTGAAAAGAATCGTTCGTAAATTAACAAGTATTCATACTTGAAATTAAAGTGCCTGCTAAATAAAAACAACAGACATATGCCCGTACTTCTCCGGAGCTTACGTGCGAACTAAGTTAAATTGTAATCTGACAAAAAGTTTTTAAATTTACAATTAGTTTTCCCGTAATTTTGCACAATTTTCTCATTTACTTGGACAAAACTTTGTTCAAACGTCAAAGCGTACGCTTTTACAAGGAAATTCACAACAGTATTTTACAGTGTAGTTTCTTTTCCAATCGCGTCTGCGTACGCTAAACACAACTCAACATCAACAGTCTGAACGCTACTCTCATTCCAATGGTTAAAGAAATGTGAAACGTATGTTAATCACCTGTTAAGTGAAACATTTATCAGATGTGTCTCATGCTGAAAATAAGGGGATAAAAAGTCAGTTCTATACTACAACGACCAGCAGCTCAAAAGTGAACTATACACATCAAGTTGGGAGACCAGCAAAGGTGAGACGGACAGCAGGGCGTTAATATTCTGACATGTGAAGAAAAATGGCAAGGCACATTGATGCCCGTGCGGCCGCAACACGTGTGCTGCCAGAGATGTCCTTAGGGATAGCGAGCACAAGACAGCCACAGGCCTCTTGCTTTGGTTTTGGGCGAGGGGGAGGGGGATGTCTAAATGTAAGTTCATCCAATTGTAAGTCGTAAGGTTCTCACTCGTGCCGGTGTCTTCCTCATACTCATATAAAAGTATATTGGCGCGCTTACTAGTTTAAATTCCAAATCACCATGACCTCGCGTTCAAATAAACTTGAAATCTTTTTGCACTCTACAATGTTAATGTTCACACATATGTCATCCGTCCACCCGGTATATGACCGTGCGTATGCCATATAATCCACGTAAGGCAAGTATATTGCCCAAAAAACTGTTAGTCTCAACAATTCACAATTAAAAATCGTCGTAAGTCCTGAAAGTTGATCAAAACGTCTTTCTTGCACGCCACTCTTGTGAGCAGAAAGTTTGTCAGCTTACAGCATTCAGCAAATGGTAGCTGAAAGAACTATGAAAAAAAGAGAATAAAATGAAAATGCCCTGTCAAAGCGGATCAAAAATGCATATGGCACAAATTTGAGAACCCCGCTATTTGTCAAAAGTTCCATCTGGTAAAAAAACAAACATGCGGTGGAAACGATGTCATAATGCCATAGTTTCCGTGCCTGTCAAACGAAATCAATTCCTTACTGAAAATCAGTGCGCCCTTTTCGTCGTGTGGATGGACAGGTCAGTCTCAGGAGGACGTTGATAATTCCCCCGCCCCACCCCCTAACACACACAAGCGCGCGCACTCTTCTTTCTTGATGGTCAACCGTCCAGACACCGTGACGTCACTGCACTTCACTTACCCCCCGCACCGGAAGAAGGCAATCCGGTGAGTCCCGCCTGCGGACACGACCTCGCCCGCCACGCCCCGCCACGCCCCACCACGCCCCGCCACGCCCCAGACGCGGTAACCGGTCGATATCCTCCAACCACACCCTAGGCGGTGCATCAGATGCGAGCGACGGCGGCTGCACCTTTTCGGCAGGCGCAAGATCCTGTCTGCAGCGGGTGCGAGCGGTGCAAGGCGCACGAACGGTTACAGTTCACGCAGCCAAAAGGCACACCAGAAAGTGCGTCAATGTGTATGCCTGCGAGCGCCATATACGTTAATACGGACGTAAATATGTGTGTGGTTTGAAAATAAAATGAATAATAACATCTGTACTTCGATAAGTGTATGAATAAGACGTTCACGCATGCCTACAAGTGTGTGACATTCATACACTTGTGTTTTCAGGGCACAACAGCGGGCGCACTGATTGGGTTTGATTATGCATACAAATTTACCGACCATAATCGAGAAAACGAAAACGTCACGGAACTAGTTTTTCTTTGGCCATTTCGAGGGCTTTTTACACAATTGCATACCCGGGATGTCAGTTACAGGGACGGATTTGTTTCGGACCAGACAAATAGATTAGCTCTCTTGCCGAACCAAACCGACCTAATTCCTCCCACGCAACGCATCCGCACGCAGGGGGCGCGGCGTGACGGCGCGTGGCGCAACAGGGAAATAAACAAAAGATCACTAACTTAAAACACATAAAAAGTAAATTCCACGGCGACGAGTCGAGATTAATATTTCAGCTATGACTGATTGGTCATCACCTACCCCGGCAAAACAAATGATGCTGTCCTGCCTGCACAGCATAAATGTGACATCACAGTGTTTGGATATCAGTGTTTGGATAATAGAGTTTTTAGAGGCGTTAGTCCTGTAAAAATGTGCAAAGTCGCCCAAAGGAGCTATTCTCGGCAATTTCAAAATT